CTCACCAGTACCCTTACACTCGTTGCAAGCGTGTTGCATCTGCTGGATCATGGATGGGCCAAGGTGTCTGATAGTGACTTTCATCCCGCACCCTTGACAGCCAGAACATTTCATTGAAACACCTGACTTAGATCCTTTCCTGGTAATAAAAATTTAACACCAACCTCAACAGAGTCTCATACAAACATAAAAGATAAAAAGTGGATAAATGATGCCTAAACATAACTAATAACATTGTAAACGCACCCCTTGCACTTGGGGCACAATACATTGCGAGATAGTGACAGCTTCTTTGACGTCCCATTGTACAGATCATCCAGAGAAACTTTGAGAGGGTGGACAACATCCTCTCCTCTTTTCTGTCTTCTTCCTCTGCTGCTTCCACCACCTGGGCATCAAATAAAGGATACCAGAGAATGAAGGCATCATGAAAAGGAATCACCAAATTCAACTACAAACAAACTGCCATAGAAACATACCCATACCACCACCAAACGGGCTGCCACCAAAGAAAGACGAGAAAATGTCAAATGGGTCGTGGCCACCACCTCCACCACCCATTCCTTCCTTGAGAGCATCTTCACCGTACTGGTCATATATCTCACGCTTCTCGGGATCACTCAAAACCTCATAAGCTTGTGCAAGCTCTTTAAACTGAAATAAACAAAAAATTGCAGCTAATTCATCGACTATACTCAAAAGCAGGTGACACCATTATGACTCCACTATTAAAACATAATCAATACAATCATAATCAGAAAATGATATGACACTAAGAGTGCATATTAAAAGGGGAGATAAAAAATTAACTCTGTTTTGAAACACCTGAAGGTGTTTACTCAAAACATCACATAATATCTGTGTGATTGCCATTAAAAAGTATCTTTAACATCAGAGTTCTTCCTAACAATGAGGAAGTTGAGGGTTCAATTATTACACAACAAAGAAGCTTAACACCAACAAGTCAATGACTCCTACTTCTGGTAAGCAACAAAATCAGATCCAAAATATCCACCCTTTCCTAGTCATCTTAATGTACAGCAACTATCAAGCCACCATGTGCAATGGAAGATAAGGTTTCATCTAGCTAACAAATCCCAAACTAGTTCATCAGCTTAATTTAGTCAATGGTAGAAATCATAGAATTAACTTCTCCTTCCAATTTTACCACCAGAAAATCACTTTTCTTAGCTCAAAGAAGACCTACTGATAGAGCTATGAGGTACATAAATAAAGTAAACAAAAAAGATTCCAAAATACCCATCTTTATAAAGAGATATACAAACAACAGTGATTGTTGAATAAGATAGTTTATGAAGATAAACCCCATAAACACTAGATAATAGATTATAAGAGTAAGAAACCAAGGCACTTCCAGTATTTAAATTGACAGGTAGGCTTTAGGATATGGGTAGGATAGAACCCTATATATGTCTTAGGAAATTCAATAAATTTGTACAAATATTGAANCCCCCCCCCCACACACACATGTATTTGCACTGAGCTAAAAAAACTATTTGCACAATCAAGTCACATATTAGGTAAGTACATGTAAATTCCTTAACAAGCATTCATCGATTGTGTAAAAAGATCTTTACTCTAAACATTTTCGATAAATTTGAGTTACTCGGCTTATATGTTAGATCACTCCGGCAAAAAACAGTAAAAATCAGTAGTTACCTTTTCCGGATCACCTCCCTTATCAGGATGATTCTTAATAGCAGCTTTACGGTAAGCTTTTTTGAGATCTTCAGGTGAAGCGGTCTTAGGAACACCTAAGATCTCATAGTACTTTGTGTTGTCGCTCTTCTTCGTTGCCCTCCCAAACATCTTCGATTCGCTTTACTACTCAAAATTAAACTAAAAAAAACAAACAAATTAACACAAAAATTTGATACCTATCAAAACCTAAAATCAAATTAACACATTAACATAGAAATACAAGTGCGAATTTGATCGATACGTACCGATGAAAAGCGCGGCGAGAAGAAGAGTGTTGTGGGCGTAATTGGGTATGGAGAAGAGAGAGCAAGAGAGGGTTTGCTTTGTGAAAGAGATCTGTGGTTTTATTTGGGGGTAGGGAATTGAACGGTCAGGATTTGTTGGTGGGAGTTGATATTGGGGGAAAATAGAAGAGTCTAGAATAAGTTTCCTTTGCCCTTGGTCTTGGTCTTGCACACTATTTTTCTTTTTTCTTTTTGGTTACTTCCTCTATCATACTTTACTTAACACTATTGGCTAACAAGAGTCATCAAACCAAAACTAAAATTGATAAATGAAATAAAATAGAATAAAAAATTAGAAGTTAAAACAATTGAAAAGGAGGACATAAAATATCACCCTCAATATCACCAAAATGGCCTTAATAACTAATATCCTACTTAAAAATTAAAAATTAAAAAAAGACACTAGTAATATTTTTAAAAAGTGTCATTTCATTTATGAAAGGGTCTAATACGGTTAAGGGAAGCTAATCTCCATATCCGAAAAATAAAATACCCAAAATCTGATCCATCAATATATGTTTGCTGATGTTGTTTGATATGGAGTATTTAGTGAATTGGTATCTTTTTTACTGCTTTAATTTTGATAATTGTTGAGTTATATTGGTAATTTCTTAGAAATGGTATAAGACGAGAAAAACTGATGACGGATTATTTTACTTTGCTAATGTTTGAGGGAAAAAAAATTCCATATCCCGATCAAGTACATGAAAAAGGGCTTGAATACTAATGTGCTAGATACATTTTTCATCCTTTAAACTTATTCATCTTTCTTATTTGTGTTTGGGCAAAAAGTTTAAAACTCTTTTGTCAAACTAATTATTGATAATAAAGAAGGTAATTTTAACCAAACATAATTAATTTCAAATCCAAACATATAAAGTACGAAATAAAGAAGAGTAGGACTGTATAAGATTTATTATGTGGCAATCGTACATCAAACATGAGAGATGAGCTTACATCCAGATCAAAGATGCATCATGAACAAGGGAGCAAAGAAGGGGAAGAGAAGTAGTTGTCGATAAACAAGAGATTCCTCTTATTTTCTCCGTTGTGGTTGCTCTCCTTCTCTAGAATCCCCCCTCTTCTCTGAGCTCCCCCCACATATATATGTCACGCCCCCTTTTTCCCTCTTCACATTGGAAAATCGGGTTTATGACATTCAGTATGGGACAACTCATTCCTTTTGGGAATGGGTTGAAGAGTCACCACCTAATGATTTAAGATGCATTAGGACATCTATAAGGTTCATCTACAACTATGTTTGATAACCAGAGTCAGGGTAAGGGCTTGAAATTATCCTAAGGGGAAGGTTTTAGGCACCCCTCAGGATCCACTAGTGCGGTTCCCGGCCAGACAGTTTTTTGTGAATTTGTACAAATAGGCAAGTATTGGCTCAAATAGTAGAGGTTATAAGTTTTAATACACATATATAAGAAAACAACTAAAAAGAGGCGAGATTTTGAAAAGAGTTACAATTTTAACATACTTGAGAATGTAAAAGGGAGGGGGTCCTAGGTTTGTTTATAATGTGGATCACGTCAATGCAATATCCGGTATGACACTCCTCAAAAGAGGGGCTACACATGGTATTAATGCACCGGTCATCATATCCATATCTACCTTTTCCCACCCCGTAAAGGTAATTAGAGTGATGATTGGTCTCGACTCTTATTGCATGCTGCTACCTGTCCCTTCCTATTAGTCCCGGAGGAATTTTAGGACTCCTATTTCAAAAAGAAGGAGGTTCTAGGCAGACCTCAGTTTTAAAGGTAAAAATGCTAAAGCAACATATAAAAAATATAAGACTGCAATTAAGGGGAAACATGTAAGCAGATAGAAGGCTCAGTTATACCTCTACAAATAATGCACACAAACAGCATTACTTATACACAGTTAAGGTTTGAATTAAAAAATATCAAAGTAGGGTGTTTAAGTTATTGAAGCAGAACCAAATTTATTATATGACTCAGATAAGAAGTCTGAATCAGGCCTGCTGGTTGTAGCAGTTGATAATTAAACAAAGGCAGTTTTGTTTTTAGTCAGGTTATTACCTAAGGCTTTCCTAGGTATAAAACCATATGCAGTAGTTATTCCAAGTTATTAAGACAGTTGCAGATGATTATTACCTAAACATGTTGTTCTAATCGCAGAAGTTGTTGCCAATTTTATTCAGAAAAACGCAGTGCGAAAATTATTACTTTACTACTTTTTTCATGAATCAGTAGTTAACTAGGCATTTGGACGAAATGTAAACAGGATCCTAGACAGGATATCTAATATACATATGCGAATGGCAGGGTTGTTAAAGAAACAGAGTCCCTAAGACTTGATTTCTAAATGTATGCATGAGTTGCCGAATTATCAGAATATAACTTTGTGAATACAACTTTTATAGCAATGTTATTATTGCCCCAGGAGCAGGATTTCTAAGCGATAGAGATAAATCATGGATTAATGAATGAGATGTTGAAGCAAGAAACATGAATCCTAAGAACATGATTTCTAATGCATTTGTATGAATTCCTAGACATGGTTTCTATTGCACGATTTGGAAATGTAAACTTAATAACATGTTTTCTACTCTTTAACAACTATAGCATGCATATTTCTCATCCCTTTTTACTAACCAACCCCATACTTGTTTATAATTATTACAGACCGTGTGATTGAATTACATAAGAAAAATGTAAAAATAAGAAGTTACAACTACAGGAAGCCTGATTCTGACTTCCTCTCTGAGTTATAGAATAAACCACCTCAAATGTCAATGTTGTTCCAAAGCCTTCTCATATCTGGGTGTGTCAGAGTTCCCTAAGGACCTCAAGGGATCCCGGACAGTGCTCACACCCAAATTTGCATAACCAAACAGAGTAAGTGCAGTGTGGAAGAGCAGCGCTTATGTGTCCAGGTTCAGAGGGAGCTCAAGGGTCCCAAAGCAAAGCTTACACAAGAGGGGCAGAACCTAGATTCTAAGAGCATAGTGAAAGTGCAGAACACACGTTGAAAGGGATTTGTTTAAAAAGCTGGATTGATAGTCCATTTTGGAAAGTAATCAGTAACAGAGGTGATTGAAATCAGTCTTATTAGCAAATAAAACTCAAAACTCCCAAGGTGGGATCACACACAGAATTAGTAGTCACAAAAGAGGTCAAGGGACTTGGGACACATAGACATTTGACTGTAAACACATAACCCCATCAAGGGTTTTAGGACTAGTAGGACATGCACAACAATAACTAATACTGACATGATCACAGGCTAGTCAGAAAGAACATAAGCACATTGAAGGGATAGGGACTTGGGATGACAAGTACACAATAAGTGATTGACAGGGCATGCTTTGAAACACACATAGGGGAGTGCATTAATCTAATAGGAAGGGGGAACATTATAACATGCTGGTAATGTAACTTAACAGAACCACAAGCAGAAATAGACCAAAATGAAAGAAGTTGAAACAATTAAAGGAGCATGTTGTTGTTGAAGCTTTAAAATTAAACTAGAACATATCAGTTGAGAAAACAAAGTACAGAAAGATAAGGCAAATAGGATTCCACAGTCTAGCCTTGGCTTTCAGCCGGCTAGACAAAATAGTAGCACAAGTAGTAGTAGTAGAGAAAGAGAGAGTTTTTGAGTGTGTAAGTGTGTGTTCTGAACTCAATTGTTCGTGTGTTTAAAGAAAAGGGTAGGGTATTTATAGCTTTGAAAACGAGTAGAAAAATAAGGTAACCAGTAAAGTTTTAACACAAATATAAAAATAATCACAATAAGAATCCCATTAATGCAAATATTCCCTTTAATCAAGGAATTACTGCTCGAACGGATACTGACAGAGATAACTAAGGAAAGAAAATCAATTCGAGGAAGATTGATTTCTGACCATATAAGGGATAATAAAAGTATAAAGTAAATATTTGAGTCAAAGTACAAAATATACTTAATTTTGGCAAAGAATTCAGCAGGGGTAAAACATCACAACAAAGGAAGGGAATCAATCAATTTAAACAAAACGAGTGAAATTAAGGGTTTATAAAAAAACTTTTGCAATTAATCGTAACTTGAGGAAATCAAGATAAATCAAGACGTGGTCATGAACATATAAATAAAAAGGAATGAACAGGCGTATTAGACATGCAGAGTCAAACATATTGACAAAAAGGAGCAAATTAAATGAACATAAACATACAGGAGTGACATGAATATGCTAGGGACTATTCAAAGCATGGTAATCAACAAGGTCAAGCAGTCATGACTCACACGTAGAATCCAAGTGAAGAAATCAGTCTAATAAGTAAAGAGAGTCAGAAATAAGTATAGAACTCACAGTGACAAGTGAGACAAACCTTTTAAGAAATTAGGGTTTTAACAATAGTCGAGTTTAAAAGAATGGTAAGAACTTAGAATCAGATAAGTCAAACAAGGAAAAGGATTCAAACACAAAGAACTTAATCGAAACAAGTATACACACAAATAAACAAAGCATCTTCAGAACTCGGATAAAACAAAAAATACTTAGGGTTTTAACACGATGAACCAGGTAGAAGAAAAGCATGAACAAATCGTTTAAACATGGTAAAATCATAAGACAATACTAAAAATCGTAGAAGAGATCCTTTTAAAAGAGGTTGAGAAAACCTTAGTTGTTGAAGACGAAGAGTCGCTTTGAAAAATCGGAAAGCCTTTGAGGAAAACACTTAAAAGGTTCATAACATATACATATCTAAGATAGATCTGAAAGAAAATCGAAAGATCTTAAAGGTTAGGGTTTCAGAGAACCCAGAAAAATGAGAAAGACTTTGAAAAGTTACCGATCTAGTCGGAAAAGTGAAGAATCTGACTCGAACGGCCATGGATGGCCGGAAAAAGACCAGAGATAAAGGTTGAGCAAGGACTGGACCAGATCTCTTCGAGATCTGTCCATGAAATCACACAAACGAGCCACCAGAAGACGTAGGAGACTGGTATACATCTCAAACAGCCATGTGAATCCATGGATTGATTGGGGGATTGAAAGGGATTAGGGTAGATTTGGTGGCGGCGGCTAGGGTTTAGGTGAGGTTGCAGATAGAATTGGAGAGGAAGGGGATTCAAGGG